ATCTGCTGAAAACGATCGTCCTCAAATCGCAAGCACAACAGTTATTTTCAGTCCCTCAAAAATCAGTCAATATGACATCATCTTACTTGCTAGGTGGCATGCATATCTGTACATGTACTGAATTAAAATGTTCCGCTGAACAATTCAGACATGAAGGCAAGACATATCAGGGAAAGGCCCGAGGAATACCGAGCGGAAATCTTCACGATGTAAAACTTCGAAGGCTCCGAAATTCTCAAAAAACTTGTTTTGCAGGACCTCATGGGATTGATGGCCCTTCCTCTGTTCAACCAACTCGGACTCGGCCTGTAAGTCAGATGAACTTACTGGATCATCGCATCTAGAGGGGTTCTGATTTCGTCTTTTATTATGTGATTTGATTAGCTACGGCGGAGGTCTTTGAGTACTAGTGATATACCCTCACAGACCGGTCAAACAGGTGTATTGGCCTGTCCAATCCGGAACAATCTTCCAAATCCGCGCCCAGAAATATCTACCGAGTCTACTTTGCATACTTCAGAAACTGCGTACCCCATCAACCAAACATCCTCATCAGAATTTTGTACAGATCCTTTCCGACTGCAAGAAGTATATCTTTTACGTCCTTCGAGTCTGATTTCGATGTTGCAGATTGCCAAAGCAAGCATCTTGAACGGTGCCAGCGACGAGGAAAGCAGAACAGCGTTACATTTGAGCAAGCTACAGGTAGAACAAAGTGCTGTAGAACACGGATATACAGGACGGCCGTTTTGGGAAGATTTACCAACAACCGTCCCAACATTATATAGAATGCTCAACCTCGACGTATCATTGGCATCCGAAGTATGCTGCCCTTCATGTTTTGCTCTTCACGGCAACATACCGCCAAAAGACACAACTTCATTCAAACAACAATGCGATGACATGCGCTTTCTTAAAGACCCGAAAATTAAAAAGCAGAATCATAACAAAATCTCACGCAGCAAGTGTAACACCAACCTTTATACTTCAGGCTCAACCAAAAAACCCTGTCGAATCTTTTACTATCAGTCTTTGAGAACTTGGATTGCGAAAATGATGTTTTTACCTGGTTTTGAGAATGCATTGGACGCATCACTTGAGCGGACAAGTGAAAATGATACTGATTCTATGACCGACGTGTGGGATGGCAGAATGTGGAAAGAATTCGAGTGCGAAGGAGTTCCTTACACCTCAAAAAGCGGCAATTTAGTGTTTGGGTTGTACTGCGACTGGTTCAACCCACATGGTAAATCAACGCAGCGACGGCACTCAACCGGAAGTCTTCTTCTTATCTGCCTTAGCCTACCACCCGATATTCGGTATAAACAAGATAATATATTCCTTTTCGCAACAATTCCGGGTCCGCAAGAACCCAAGATTGAACAGATGAATCACCTCCTAAGGCCTTTGGTTGCAGAGTTTCAAGACTTATGGCGCGGGATCTTTTTCGACTCTACAAATAAGTATCCCAATGGTCGTCACATCCGTGGAGCCTTATGGCCGGTGATTGCCGACTTGCCAGCTGCACGGAAAGTAGCCGGTTTCCCGTCTCACTCGGCAACACTATTTTGCGCTCACTGTGCACTTATCAAGCAGAACATTTCCGAGACAGATATCAGAAAATGGCCCCTACGGTGCAATCATCTGCAGCATGCTAACGAGTGGAACGAAGCCAAATCCTTAGGAAAACAAGAATCGATATTTACTGAGTTTGGATCTCGTTGGACGGTTCTTTCCGAGCTTCCGTATTGGCAGTCAATAGAGTTTGTCACGGTCGACGTGATGCATTGTGTCCTGTTAGGAATCTTAAAGGACCATGCAAATTCGTGCCTTGGTGTTCAGGATGCGGGAAGCAAGCTGAAGGCTCAAGATACAGCTGCTGCTTCAAAAGTCGTACAACAATCACACGGAACTATGGGAACATCTTTGATAGATGTAAGTGAAAGTGGACAATCGAGTAGTAATCAACCCTTCAGGTGAGTATTTCACTCAACTTTTCTCTCAAACCCAACTGAACGATGTTGTTTACAGAAAGTGTGGAAGGCCACGAGGCTTACCGGACCCAGAAGATCTCCCCAGCTCAAAGAAAAAGCAACGACCAACATCAAACACGAACTCCAGCTCAGGACACTTACAGCAAACTTCTGACGAGTTGAAAGAACTGCCTTGTCGACGCTCCCCAAGAACTGCCTCAAACACTACTTCCACGTCGAACTTAAAACGAAATTCTGGCGATTCCACAGAACTGCCTCTTCGGCGCTCCTCTCGTTTGGCATCAACATCAAGCACAGGATCAATTCGCTCTTCTCGTTTAGGGTCCATATCAAGCACAGGATCAATTCGCTCCTCTCGTTTGGGGTCCATATCAAGCACAGGACCAATTCGCTCCTCTCGTTTGGGGTCCATATCAAGCACAGTATCAATCAATGTTAAACCTGGAAAATCGAGACAAGGATCAGATAGCGACTCGGATTCCACAATCCATGGCTCTCCACAGCCATCTGGCTCAAAGGAATGCAGAAAATCTCAACAGGCAGCTAAAAAGAAGCCCGAGAACTCATCCTCAGCGCCTCAAAAAGATAAAGGTACTATCAAAATTGCACCAAATATCACAGTCTCAAAACCAAAGATTGCAGTCTCCGATCTTGTGACATTGCATGAAGCCATTTCAGATATCACGACCCCATCATGGATGACTCGTGTTCCACGACAAATCGGAATGGCCAGCGCCGGGACACCGAAGGCAACGGAGTGGCTCACATTATACACAGTTTACATGGTCCTCTCAACAATTCCACTTCTCTACGATTCTACTGATCCACACCGAAAACTCATATGTAACAGTATAATACAAGCTGCGGAAATCGCAAATTTGGCTCTTTCCCGAACATTCTCGCCTGAGGATGGTGATACCCTAGCATCGAAATTGAAGATATTTCGCGACAACCTTCAATACCATTGGCCGAATGTTACGGTCAAGTCTAATTTTCACATAGCTCAACACCTACCACAGATTGCGACTCTGTTTGGACCTCCGACATACACAGCATGCTGGGTTGGAGAACGAATGAATGGAAGCTTAATCAAGGTCCCAAAGAATCGACATGCAGGTGAGTTTTTTGCGGAAATCGTCAGCAATACACACATTTTCCTTGTTCAGCTGACTCTGGATTTCTAACAGGGGATGTGGACAAAACAATGTGTACCGCTTTCATTCGAAGAAGTTTTTTCCAGGCTGTTTTGCATAGTGCACCCCAATTTCTGAATCAAGCTGAAGAATCTATTCGTCTTCGCTGTATTGCAAAAATCGTCGGACTTGAGGAAACACGTTGGGCAAATCCAATTTCTCTTGACCCGACAATCTATAATGCCTGGTTGGAGTATTTGAAAAATTGCAACCGGAGCTATTGCAATTCTGAAGATGATACAGCTTTTCTCGATTCAGTTCAAACCACCCAGCGACTACGAATTTCTGGAAAAATGTATAGCTCCCACACAAAACACAAGGGAAATAGTCGGGTAGAATTTTTCATGAATGGGAAGAATCGATTTGGGCAAATTCTTTTCCACTTCCGCAAAGCAGGTATATCGTCGACTTTCATGGCAATTGAGCCGTACGCGTCATTGGATTTGACAGATTCCCCCAAAGACTTTTACAGAAATCATCCTCAGCTCCATGCCGAGATAATATACCAAAGGACGGAGGCTCCAGTCGTTGTTGACACTAAAGAGCTCCGTGGCCATATTGTTCTTCGCCACTGGCCCACAGAAAGCTTTGCAATTCCTGAGCCAACCTACTCTGTTGTCAGTCTGAGAAACATATACAGTGACTGAGATGTTTTCTTCATCTCCCATACAATCATCTCACTGATACAGTACAAAACATCGTTCCCAATCTCTTTGTCATCTCAGGTGTGTCATTTGTCCACTTCTGTTCCCAGCGCTTTGGTTTTTGAGTCTTGGTATAGAATGTGGGGTGAGATATATGGGAGCTTTTAATCTTCTATGTCTACAATTTTTCTGTTCTTCTAGTTTTGGTCGAGTTTTTCCTTTCTCATATATGTATGTAAATCTGGTTACTCACTCAGGTTGAAATGTATGGAGTGGTATTTGAAAGATGAGATATACTGCCACCTGCTAGCCCGAAGCTAGCCGGTATAGGATGTTCTAGGCTGTTCTACTTATATAGAACCTGATTCACGTGCATACAAGTGAAAAGACTTTCCTTTTTGCAATCATTTATGTATCACAACTAGGGCTTATCACTATCCTTTTGACCAGAATCATGATGATCGACATTATCCGATGTTTGCGGATTTATGTTTTTGGATTTGAAACTATATTATCAAACAGAATCCTCCAAATATCTTGATCATGGCCCACGTGTGTAACTAGGTATTACACTCGAGCTTGCAAGCCTTTGTGTCGAGTGCCAGAAACGAATACTAGACTGACTTACCTTTTAAAAATTATTTTAATACTTGGATTGAAACCAGGTGGTTTCAATCCAAGATAGTCTTGCTGTTTTCTTGATCCGGCTATACACTCATACATCTCTTCCCCATGCTTGAAAGAGACTTACGACTTCAACGCAGCTCTCGTACCGAACACGGTAAGTCCTTTCCATTCCATCTCTTCGTAACTTCGTAACTTCGTAACTTCGTAACTTCGTAACTTCGAACAAGCTACTTACCGTGTGACTTGAATCCCAGGTGAAATTGAGTTACAGTTGAGCCGAGCTGACCTTCAAGCACTCGAAGATCTCCTCAATTCGAATGGTACATCACTCCCGTTGAAATCTGCACCTAATGTTACGAGTATGTCCCTATTCTTCATTTTTGTCATCTCTGAGATTTTCAGATTGTTCAACATGAGACTTACGCTTGTTAATCTCTTTCGAAACAGACTCTCACGAAATCGCACCTCAAGATCCAAACACCTCCAAGGTGTCTTCAAAGCCCCAACACCCTGACCTCGCAGATGACCATACGATCTTAGGAGGTTCATCGCATCATGTACACGCCACTTCAGACTCTCCACCGCGCACACGACAACGCTGCGAATCAGACACTTCAGCTCCTGAAACGGTGATCTTTCCAACCGCTCCAGCTTCAAGCGGAGCGCATCAGGCTGATCAATCAGAGACTAGTATAACTGGCTCAGATCAATCATTAAACCCGGTATTTGCGGAAGAAAACAAACCTCAGCACGTGCAGGTTCCCGTGCGATGTTCTGTTACACTTTGTGGCAAGTCATTTCGAATTTATCTTTGTTTGACGTTGACCAGGCTACTGATCCTGTCGACTTACGCTTGTCAATCTCTCGCAATTACAGACTCTGGCGATGAGAGCACTGTATCCCATCCTGGTGGATCATCAATCACACCTCAAGATCCGAACACCTCTATGGCATCTTCGACGCGCCAATGCTCTGACCCTTCAGGTGACCATACAATCTTAGCGCCTGATGGAATGAGTATGTCCCTATTTGTTTATTTTTGTAACCTCTGAGCTTTTCAGATTGTTCAACATGAGACTTACGCTTGATAATCTGATTCGAAACAGACTCTGGCGAAATTGCACCCCACGATCCCAACACCTCTATGTTGTCTTTAAAGCGCCAACGCTCTGACCTCTCAGACGACCATACGATCTTAAGGGGTTCGTCGCATCATGTACACGCCACTTCAGAGTCTCCACCGCGCACACGACAACGCTGCGAATCAGACACTTTAGCTCCTGGAAAAGCGATCAAGTCTCAGTTTCCAACCACTCCAGCTTCAAGTGCAGCGCATCAGGCTGATCAATCAGGCTCAGATCAATCATCAAATCCGGTATGTATGGAAGAAAACGAAACTCAGCACGTGCAGGTTCCCGTGCACTGTTCTGTTACACTTTGTGGCAAGTCATTTCGAATTTGTCTTTGTTTGATGTTGACCAGGCTACTGATCCTGTCGACTTACAGATCCGAACACCTCTATGGCATCTTCGACGCGCCAACGCTCTGACCCTTCAGGTGACCATACAATCTTAGCACCTGATGGAATGAGTATGTTCCTCTTTGTTTATTTTTGTCATCTCTGAACTTTTCAGATTGTTCAACATGAGACTTACGCTTGTTAATCTCTTTCGAAACAGACTCTGGCAAAACCGCACCTCAAGATCCAAACACCTCTATGTTGTCTTTGAAGCGCCAACGTTCTGACCTTTCAGACGACCATACGATCTTACGGGGTTCGTCGCATCATGTGCACGTCACTTCAGAGTCTCCACCGCGCACACGACAACGCTGCAAATCAGACACTTCAGCTCCTGAAACAGCGATCAAGTCTCAGTTTCCAACCGCTCCAGCTTCAAGTGCAGCGCATCAGGCTGATCAATCGGGAATTAGTATACCTGGCTCACAACAATCATCAAACCCGGTGTCTATGGAAGAAAAAGAAACTCAGCACGTGCAGGATCCCGTGCGGTGTTCTGCTACATATTGTGGCAAGTGTTTTCGAGCTTATCTTTTTTTGATGTCAACAGTCTACTGACCCTGTTACTTAAATCTCAGATGGAAGTGAAACACACTCAAGTCAAGCTGGCCATCAGGACCCCGACAATCTCCTCAATTTGGTTGATAACGCACTCCCATCGAAGCCTCCATCAGACGACATGGGTTTGTCTCTGATCATTTATTCTTTTCATCTCTCCTTTGTTGTGATTTTTCCACGTGCGGCTTACGATTTTTTACTTCTTTTACATACAGAATCCGGAAACGGGAGCACTGCATCTCATCCTTACAACGATAAGAGCCCAGCAGTTCCGCTTTGTGAATCACCAATTGCCTCGAACAATCCAACCTCTTGTATGGTATATCTGAAGCACCAACATCGTCAACTCTTGGATGTACAAGCACCCTCAAGGAGCTCATCGCTTCCGGGACACAATGCCTTAGTGTCTCCACCGCTCCCGCGACGGCGCGGTGTATCAGATCCACCAACCGGATCGACAAATTCAAAATCACACCCAGTGTCTGTGGAAGGACAAGAAAACCATTACGTAGGAGATCTGGTGCGGTGTCCTTCTGGTACACATGGTGGCAAGTTTTTTAAATTTATCTCTTATTGACGTTGAACAGGCTACTGATCCTGTTCCTTGAATCTCAGATGGAAGTGAACCACCATCGAGCCGAGCGGGCCTACCTTTGAAGAGGCAATGCTCTGACCCTTCAGGTGACCATACAATCTCAGCACCTGATCGAATGGGTCTGTCCCTATTTGAACTTTTCAGCTTGTTCAACATGAGACTTACGCTTCTTAATCTCTTTGGAATACAGACTCTGGCGAAATTAAACCTCAAGATCCAAATACCTCTAAGATATCTTTGAAGCGCCACCGCTCTGACGTCTCAGATGACCATACGCTCTTAAGAGGTTCATTGCATCACGTACACGCTACTTCTGCTTCTCCACCGCGCACACGACAACGCTGTGAATCAGATACTTCAGCATTTGAAACAGCGATCAAGTGCTGGTTTCCAACCGCTCCAGCTGCAAGTGGAGCGCGTCAGACTGATCAAGCAGAAATTAGTATAATTGGCTCAGATCAATCATCAAACCCGTTGTCTATGGAAGAGAAAGAAACCCAGCACGTGGGAGTTCCGGAGCGGTGTTCTTCTGGTACACATGGTGGCAAGTCTTTTCGCGTTTATCACTTTTTGACGTTGAACAGGCTACTGATCCTGTGTCTCAAATCCCAGATGGAAGTGAAGCACACTCGAGGGGAGCTGGCCTTCAGGACCCCGATGAACTCCTCAATTCAGATGATCAATCACTCTCGGAGAAGCCTCCACCATGTGGCAAGAGTTT